TTTTTTTTTTTTTTTTTTTTTTTTTTTTTTTCCGTCATCATTTCGGTCGGCAGTGCATCGTCTGCGTTTTCATGCCTCGTCAACCGCACAGCCACGTGTGGAATGGGGTTTGAGGTATCGGGATTGTGGAGGCGGGGGTTTGGAGTGTGGAGGGGGGCGTGGGGTGCGAGGGTGTTTGGTGGCTGCGACGGGGGGACGCGATGGCGTGGCCAGGGGTTCAGTCCCTGGCGAGTGAATTGACGCGCGTCGCCAGGGACGTCGAAGGGTCTTTTCGCGCCTTTGGGAGGATGGAAATGACACGGCAGTGTGGGCAGGGCGGTCGCACGTGCCACCGTCGACGATGTCATTTCCCGCTAGAGAAAAGCGACGTCGCGGGAGGTCCATCTCCGAAAGACTACTTAAGTCCTGCGCATCCCAACCCGTCTGTATGCCGTCCACGCCGCGAAGGTGTCTCCAGTACAGAAGCCCACTGCGCCTGCTGTAAACCGCCCGCAACAACGACGAAGTGCTGCAAGCCTGCTCGCCGCCTGTCTTCTCAACGCGGAGTGCTCTCGCCGCCAGTCTTCTCAACGCGGAGTGCTCTCTCCGTGGTCTTCGTCCTTCTGTGTACCAAGTGTACGTCGTCGTCTTCTTCCCGCGGAGGACTGATCTCCTGCGTCGCGGGGGTGTCCGTCGTCGTCACGTCTTCTTCCCACAACAACGACGAAGTGCTGCAAGCCTGCTTGTCGCGGATCGTTGTGATCGTCGCTCTTCTATTCTTCTCGCCGCGGAGGACTGATCTACTGCGTCACGTGGGTGTCCGTCGTCGTCACGTCTTCTTCCCGAAGAGGACAGATCTTCTGTCTGCCACGTGCACGTCGTCGTCGTTGCGCCACAACCGCACAGGAGACCTTCTCCACGGGAGACATATTTTTCGCCAGGTCGGCCACACTTCCCGCTCGTCCGATCACACTGCCAAGCTCGCCTGCAGAGGTCACCACGAAACATGTCTACGCGAGGAAACACCCGTGGGAAGAAGCGCGACGTAGTCGTCGACGACAACCAAGGGCAAGGAAGAGGGCGGCGGCAGGCCCCGAAAGCGAAGAGGGTGTGTACGGAAGATGCGTCAGCAAGGGTGCCTCGTCGTGGACCGCAAGGTTGGGCGGAGGCAGCAAAAGGGGACTATGACGATGAGTTCACGACGGAGGAGGAACAGGCGGAGGCAACAATGTCTCAAGTGCGCGAGAGCGGTCGGCAGCGCTCTTCTGATCACACCACTTCGAAGAGGATGCAGACCCCTCCACCCGAGGCGCAGCAACTGCGTGGCCGTGAAACGCGGACAAAGAAGGCTCTCGTCGTCGATCTTGGCGGCGATGATGATGAGCCCTTGGAGAGACGTCGCATTCGCATTCATACGACGGCGACCCCACCGCCGGAGGTGGTCATGCGCGTTGCTGCAAACGAAAGGCCAGTCTCGGGTAGGCTGTCCGCCACGCCGTCTCAGCCACGTGAGCGCAATGACACTGGTGATGGAGGGTCCGTCCAACGTGGTGGCGGGGGGGAAGTCGTGGCAGACGCGCGAGCAGTTGGCGCCCAGGAGGCAGGTGCTGCGGGGGCGGGCGGTTCAGGCACTGTGGCCGCCGTTGTGACGGGGAGGGAGGAGGCAGCAGTTGCGGCGACGGCGAGAGAGGAGGCGCGTGGCGAGAGGAAAGGCAATCGGGAGGCAGGCGATCCCGGTTCAAGTCGGGCACGAAGGAGTATAATGACAAAAGACCTCATCGATCGTGCCGTCCTTTGGGTCGATGACAAAGCTTTCTGGACGACGGGGGAGGGGTGAAGACTATACAACATCGTCCACGAAACGAAAGAGTACTTCGTCGCCATCGCCAGCGGACTTCCAGCGCCTGACGTCCCTCGGAGCGTCGTTCTGCCCAAAGCCAACACGCGCGTGGCCAGGATCGTCGACCAATCACAGTTGCAGCAAGCGATCTCCCGTGCGGTGGCAGTGGAGAACGTTGCTCTTCGCATCTTGCACGGATGGGTATTCAAGTCCGGAAATCGGCCAAGGGGATACCATGTGGCTTTCCAGTACTCGCTGGAATCCTTTGCGACGGACATTGCGCGTGCCATGTGGTACGGTGAGGAGTGGTGCGACGTTGTCAGTCCATTTGTGCGCACACGATAGATCTGTCCATGGACCTACCGCTTTGGTTCGCCGGCGCCAACATCGAGGACAGACCAGAGGACGACGACATGGCGGCGCACCAGGAGTCCACCGTCATCCGCGTCGCGTATGCATTCCGCGCGGCCGTGCAAATGGGGGCGCTCATCGACGGCGAGTTCATCTCGCACGATCGTCTTTCTCGGGTGGATGATTGCTTCAGGCTGTTGTTGGCGGCGTGCATGTGGATAATGCGCATGGCGGGAGACGATCCGCGCAGCCACTACGAGGCTTTCTACTTCGCGGACCTCGTGGCGAAGCCCACACTCGTCGTGGCCATGCATCGCTCCTTCGATCATCGACGATCCGTCGTCCGCGCCGTGAAAGTCGTCACAGAGAGGCTAGGGAAGGCGACCGCTACGTTCGGACAGTACCCCAACTACATACCTCAATGGGCGCCCTACGGCATTGCTTTCAAGCACGACGCGAGCATAACGGGGACGGAGGATGCAAAGAAGCTAGATTGGTTGGGTTCCGGCCCCCCTGATGATGATGACAACAACGACAGGAAAGATGACACGTAGGGGCGGGGGGGGGGGGGTTGGGGCTGATAGTTGGCTGGGGRGGAAGACAAATGGGATGGGAGCGGAGGTTTGGCTGCTTATGTGGACTCGCGCGCATGTAGTAGTGGATGGTCGTCATGCGGGAGGATGGGGTTGCACCGACGCAAAGTGCGCACCTGTTTAGTGTGTCGGAGAGAGGGATTCCGCAAGATCGTCGTCGGTTGCGCACTTGTTTAGCGCGTCGCCTCTGCCACGGATTCGGGTTCATAGGTTTGAATGGTTTGTGGTGCGTTTAGTGCAGGTGTGCAGTGTGTCGGTCGTTCTAGTCGACGACGAGATCATTCAATGTCATCGTGTATTGTGTACTTATATTCGCAGTTTGCTGCGCGAGAAGTTCATAGCGCTTTCAGCGCACTCTTTTTTTATGTGATGTCTCCGTTCTTCTCGTGTCTTCTGTCAAGTTCTGTGGAATGATTGCAAGATGATTGCAGATGATCGACTCCTATGCATGCACGCAATCCATGTTCATCTATGTCTGTTTTTTGTGTTACGCAGTTTACTAATGTTAAGCAGGTTGCATCAACAATTGCAAAACACGTATGTCCGTCGTCCCGCCAGAGAAGCGAACGAAAACATGCGCGACTGGAGATTTCAAGAGATACACAAAAACAAATGAAAAAGGAGTTGAGGATGCAGAAGAAAAAAAAGAAAAAAACTTCTCACCAAACCGAAACATTCGAGACAAGCGATTTGAAGACACAGACACCGAAAAAAAAAAGTATATAAATAAAATAAAACAAAAAAATGTAAAAAAAAAAAGAAAAACAAAACCGAGAGAGATACAAAAAAAAAAGGTTCTTCCAATTTGAAACGTTCGTACAACTGTACGAACCACGCAACCGTCCAAACGACGAAAACAAGAAAGGAAGTCACAGACGACAACCATGCCGCCATACAATCGACCCAGCTACTTCGCGCAGTGTTGCCAATGGACGCGGCCACATGCCAATTCCACCCGCCTGCCGATCGCACCAACTCACATGCTATCAACCCCTACCCAAACCCCCTCCCGGCTAGCAGGTAACCTCGCGCCACGACACCGTGCGGCAGATTCTCCGGAGGTGCGTCGAACAGCTCGCCAGCTTCTGCACGCCTCCACAGCTGGGAATTGTGCAGGACGCAGACATCGTGCACGCTTCCCGGGTATCCGATGTGGACGTCGAGGATCCGCAGATCCAAGTCCACCACCACCTGCGCCTGCACGGAGAACCTCTGTTTGCGGTCGTAGTAGTTGTGGGAAGGTGCGCCGAGGGGCTTGTCAATGTAGATGTGTGTGCAGTCGATCGCGCCGAAGCAGTTCGGGAAACCCTTGTCACGGAATGCGCGCAGAATCTGCGCACGTCTACGACCAACTGGCCACTTGATAGCGTCGGGGTACGCCTGCAACAGCACCGAAGTGACGTCGCAGACGGCCTGCAGTCCAGTTGCCCTGCCGATGCCGAAGGCCGAAGTGTCGCTCTCGTACGTCTCTCCTGACGCCCACCTGTACAATGCGAAAGCGATCACCTGCTCCACTGGCAAAGGCATCCTGTAGTGCGTCACCTTCTTCTCCACGTACGTGGCGCACGCGGCAACGATCTGCCTGAACATGGCCAACGACATGCGCAACTTCTGTCGGTAATACTCGTCCGTCGCGTCATCACACAGGCGGAGATCCTCCCATGTCCCGCCAGTCTGTCGTTTAATCCACCAACGCGGGGTCCGCCGCGGGAAAACGCCAGATGACAGCGCGGCGCACAACTGGACGACTGCCTCACACGTGGCCACGCAATCCGGCGCTTCGGCAATGCGCTGCAACAGCGCTCTTCGTTTTCGGAGCTGTGTCAGCATGTCGCTTAAGGACGACGACATGCCGCCCATCGTGCTCACGACGACGGCAGTAACCGCCATCGCCACCGCGTCGATCTCCTCTTCGCGTAAACCGTGCCCGCTGACGCGAAGATCCATCTCTAGGAATCTTTCTGCCCGAAGAGCGTGACGCCTGCCACAACCGCCAAAGACACGCCCGCTGACGTACGCTGCAACGGAAGATGGCGTGCTTCGGAGTCCACAGGACAGCACACACGGTGGAGGTGAAGATGCGCCTTGCCGGAAGTTGCCCCCGCTGCTCACAACTCGCGTGGAGTCGGAAGATGGATACCCGTGCTGTAGCGGACCTCGGGTTGGCCTGTGAGACCAGCCCCTTGGCCTGTTCTCACAGGCCTGTGTTATATTCGGGGTAGGCCAGTCCAGGCCGGTACCTCTGTCGGTACCAGCCAGTCCAGTCCAGTCCCGTCAGT